CCAGGCGCTGCGGTTGCCCCTGACAGCCTGGAGGGAGGAAGCCTGCCAGGTCCTCGAGTCGCCCGGCAGCCCCCCAGCCCCTGAGCGGCCTCACCGGAGGAGGCGGGCTGTGGGCCTGGTGCCCCTGCCCACCCCTTCCTGCCCCTGTCTCTCCACCACGCTCCACATTAGGTCTGGGTCTTCCAACCTGCGCCCCGTGTCTGGCCCGTGGCCCCCAGAAGCGGGGGCCCTCCTGTGGCCGGGACCTTTGTCATTTGCGAGCGCGTCAGAGGATCAGAAAGTCGCCTTCGTTAGCAGCTGGAACTCACGACGAGAGTTGTGCTCCGCAAATCCTCTGCGTGCGGACAAAGCATCCCGTGCGGTGCGGGCGTGGGGCCAACGTGTCCCCAGGGCTGTGGGCTCCCTGTTCTGACTCAACCTCTCCAACCACCGATAGTGCATCTTGCTTATGTTTGTTTACAGTCATGAACACAGGCAGTTGGGACCGTGTGTCTCCCAGTGTCATGTGGCCAGACACCAGCGGATGGCCAGACAGGCCTGCATGGGGTCTGCACCATCCTTGCGCTTCACCCCCAGCCCTTTGCTGTCAGGAGCACAACTGAGCCCACACTCAGCTCAGAGTCTGCTTGAGACCCTCTCCCACTGCCCCCACCCTGCCCACAAGCTCACTCACGCTCTCTCTCTGAAATAAATAAGTAAATCTTAAATAAATAAATAAATGAATAAAATTCTAATAAAAAGAAGGAAGATGGGGATGCCTGGGTGTCTCAGTTGTTGAGCATCTGCCTTCGGCTCAGGTCATGATCCCAGGGTCCTGAGATCGAGTCCTGCATCAGGCTCCTGGCTCAGTGGAGAGTCTGTTTCTCCCTCTACTCTTCCCCCTGCCCCTGCTTGTGCTCTCTCTCTCTCTCTAATAAATGAAATCTTAAAAAAAGAAAAAAAAAGGAAATGCAATTGATTGGGGCGCCTGGGTGGCTCAGTCAGTTAAGCGTCTGCCTTCGGCTCAGGTCATGGTCCCAGGGTCCTGGGATGAAGCCCCGCATCGGGCTCCCTGCTCCGCGGGAAGCCTGCTTCTCCCTCTCCCGCTCCCCCTGCTCGTGTTCCCTCTCTCACTGTGTCTCTCTATGTCAAATAAATAAATAAAAATCTTAAAAAAAGAAAGACAAAATGATATTGGCAGAATGAGTTGCTGAAGCTAGTGTTTGAAATTTTTTCTCTTTTTTCTGATTTTACTGGATATGTATATTTGAAGTTCGTTAGTATGTACTGAAGATGGCTGAGAACAGCCGCTAGGTCTTTAAGTTACGAGCTCTGTCATTCTGCTCAGGCCACTGTAACAGAACACCGCAGGCTGGGCGGCCTACGAAACAGATTGATTTCTCAGAGCTCTGGAGGCTGAAAGTCTGAGACCGGGGTGCCGGCAGGGTCGGGTTCTGGCGAGGACCCACGTCCTGGACTGCAGACGGCCCCCTTTTTGCTGTGTTCTCACCTTGGGGGGTGAGGTCTGGTGTCTGATCTTATCAGGGCACAAACCCCATCGTGGGGCCCCCACCCTCATGACCTCATCTGAACCTAATCACCTCCCAACAGCCCCACCTCCAAATACATCAAATTGGGGCTTCAACATAGGAATTTGGGGGGGTACACAACTCGGTTCACAGCAGGAGCTTCTCTGGGTCAGTCCCGGCCCACAGACCAGCTGGAGAAGGGCATTGCTCCTGCAGGCAGGCCAGGCATGGCTCCCAAGGCCCCCAGAATAAATGGAAATCTGCCCAATGGAGGATTTGAGTGTCTTTTATCCCTAGAATCCAAACGTTTCCAGCAGCATTTGTATTTTTGCCCAGTTCCGAGCAGTCGGGCAGGGAAGCGGCTGGTTTGTTCCCGCTGATGTGTGGAGCTGTGAGGCCTTCAAAGGGCATTTGAGTGCAAGCGCTAACGGCCTGTTTTGGATCTGTGGGCAAGAAGTGCTGGGGATAATTTTCATAAAGCTCAAGGTCTGTCCTGCAGAAACCAGCTCGCCATGTGTCTGGGTCACCTGTTTCTGGCTTTTCATCTTTCACTTCATGATGCAATTGTGTGGAATCAAATAGGAACACAGAATTGTGCAACTATTGTGTCTGATGACACTGACAGATGCGAGTGGGCCGCGCTGGTGCCGAGTGGCGGTGGGACGGGGGTGCACCAGGCCCTCTCTCGCTGTGTTTCTCTGTCAAATAAATAAATAAAATCTTTTAAAAAAGCAAAATAAATGGAACTTTTAGTCATCAAGGCAGTGCACAATGAGGGTGAACCACCCAGGGGAAGTGGGCAGAAGCCCTGTCCTCCTCACCTAGCTGTATTTGGGGTTCTGTATGCTTTGGCCACCACCCCCCACCGTAAAACTTTAGCTGAAATATTCTGGTCCTGGGTGGACAGTGCTCCTAGGCCCCTCCCAGCAGTCAACACAGACACTCTTGGGAGAGTTCACCATTTCTCTTTAAAAGGAAGTAGGGCTCCTTTGAGATTTGGGGAAGGAAATAATACAAAATGAGTTTAGGATATCTTGTGCCAGAAAGCAAGGTTGCTTCCAGAAAGAGACCTACCAGAGGGACAGTGTGACAAAAGTGAAGGGCTCTGAATGGCCAAAAAGTCAACAATTTAAGCATCAAAAAGAGTAATGACTGTCCTGAATAGAAACATACCAAATATATAAAATGCGTAAGTTTAAAATATTATAAAAACCCACTCCATTAGTCATCTTGAAGGTTGCTGCTATAGCAATCCATTATTCTAAAAATTGGTAAATGAAGGGATGCCTGGGTGGCTCAGTTGGTCAAGCATCTGCCTTTGGCTCAGGTCATGATCCCAGGGTCCTGGGATCAAGTCCCACATCAGGCTCCTTGAGCCTGCTTCTCCCTCTGCCTGCCTCTGTCTCTCTCTCTCTCTGATAAATAAATAAAATCTAAAAAAAATTAAAAATTGGTAAATGAAGAATCACATCCATTCTGACAATGAGGGTGGTTCACCCTCATTGTGCACTGCCCTTGATGACTAAAAGTTCCATTTATTTTGCTTTTTTAAAAGATTTTATTTATTTATTTGACAGAGAGAGACACAGTGAGAGAGGGAACACCTGGAGTGGGAGAGGGAGAAGCAGGCTCCCCGCGGAGCCGGGAGCCCGATGCGGGGCTCGATCCCAGGACCCTGGGACCATGACCTGAGCCGAAGGCAGACGCTTAACGACTGAGCCACCCAGGCGCCCCTAAAAGCTCCATTTTAAACCTGTGATCTGAACTCCTGTCTCCACCCGGCCCAGGTCCAGTCCTGGTTCCACCCGTCCTGACCATCCCAAGGGTCCTTCCAGGTGGGCTATGAAAATTAGTAAAAGGAGACCTCGTTTAGAATGGGGCCGAGTGGAGCTGAGAGGCCACCAGGGGGAGCTCTCACTGCCCGACTCTCACTTGCGGACCCAGCTGGGACCTTGCCAGTCACTACAGCTTTAGAGCCCCACCGGGAGGAAGAACGGTTTCCTCCCCGCCCCACCAACAGCTCAGCCAATGAGAAGCCACTACCCTCCCAGCTCGGTCCTGGCCAATGGGCTTTTTGTTTACAACAGCCCCTCCCAACAACCCCTTTCCTCCATAAAAGAGTGTTCCGCTCCTTGGTTCCGGGCACAGTTTTGCCCTAACTTGCTCGTCTCGGGATTGCAGTTCTCTGCTATTCCTGAACAAACCTATCTCTGCTGGTAAAATACCTGGCAGTTTTAAGGTTAACAGGGCCATCAGGATCTGCTGCTTGGACCCCTGGTACGTGCGCCACGGTGGGGGGCTGCCCTGCCTTGTCCCCAAGGCTCCACCAACTCTGCACCCTGCTGCTAGAAGTGCGCCAGCCACTCTAGCCATGACCACCTCCTGTTTGGGCCTCTCCAACGCCGGCCCCCAATGTGCAGCCAAAAACCCAGAATCTTTAAGAACCTTCCCTCTGTGCTCAGGATGAAGTCCCCAGCCCTTGGGCCAGTATTGAGGGTATGCTAGGGCATGGCCTCCCCCAAGAGCTGCTGGACCTCCCACAACCACAACCATGGGACACCTTACTGGCCAGCCTATGCTCATTGGGATTGAGAGCTAAATGCAATATATGGCCCTGGCAGAGCGGGGACAACCGACATTTTCATGGGAGCTGTGGCTTAGCTAATACTGTTTTCTCTGTACTAAATTTCCGGATTTGGATCATCGTACTGGGGTAAGGTAGGAGGACATCCTTGTGCTCAGGAACACTAAAGGATTTTTTTTTTATTTTTAAGATTTTATTTATTTATTTGACAGAGAGACACAGCGAGAGAGGGAACACAAGCAGGGGGAGTGGGAGAGGGAGAAGCAGGCTTCCCGCGGAGCCGGGAGCCCGATGTGGGGCTCGATTCCAGGACCCTGGGGTCACAACCCGAGCGGAAGGTAGACGCTTAACGACTGAGCCACCCAGGCGCCCCCTAAGGGATTTTTAAATCATTTGAGTGAAGAGGCATGAAGTCTTGAACCTAATCTCACGTGGTTCAGGAAAAAATGCAGACACAGACACGGGGACAGAATGCAAACTGCTGGGGAATCTTGATAAAGGGAGTTCTCTGTACTTAGCAACTTCTAAGTTGGAAATTATATTAAAAAATACCCCCAAATGGGGCGCCTGGATGGCTCAGTTGTTAAGCGGCTGTCTTCGGCTCAGGTCATGATCCCAGGGTCCTGGGGGATCGAGCGCCGCCTCGGGCTCCCTGCTCGGCGGGAAGCCTGCTTCTCCCTCTCCCGATCTCCCTGCTTGTGTTCTCTCTCTCTCTCTCTCTATCAAATAAATAAGTAAAATCTTTTAAAAAAAATTACCCCCAAATCCCCAAGAGTTTAAACACAAAACCTCCCACGGCCCTTGGTGGCAGTGGCACTGGGAGCAAAGCCCCACTGCCCACCCCTCCAGTGGCCCTCTTGATCACGGCCCACCCCACGCTGGCCCTCCCCGCTACAACACGTGGTTGCCTAGCTCCTCCTGGCCAGCTGGACTCCTGTCCTGCTCTGGCACCATTTGTCCATGCGGGCGATGTCCGTCTCCGTCATTCCCGGCGCGAGGATACTGGTGTGGCCCACTTCCTTTGCCCCTGCGGAGCAGCTGGGGCAGAGGGACACACAGGGCGAGGGGCGCATCAGGCTACTTTGCAGTTTGGAAACTGGAAGCCAGAATGAGTGGTCCCTATACCTCCAGGAATGCTGGAGCAGGAAAGCGGGTCATGCCAGAGCCAGGTGGGCGGGTCACACCTTTATTAACACCAAATTTACCAAATACCTGAACACCACGGGCCCTCACCTCCACGCGCCCTCCGCCCCCCCAACTCCGTCGATTCCGGCTCCCCTTGAGGCGGCTTCCGCTGCAGCGTCATTGTCCACGGTCTCCTTCGACTGGGGGACGGGAAGAGCTTGATCCCAGGACAGACTTAGCAGAGGGAGTGGTGTTCTGTGAGGCCCCGGGTAATGAGAACCGCGAAGAGACCTGGGAGCCTGGGCGCGACGGGGTCAAGGACGGGGCCCGGGAGCCCCGATGGGGCGGGGTCAAGGACGGGACCCGGGAGCCCGCGGGCGATAAGTGCTGGGATGGAACCCGTGAACCCGCCTTCGGAGGGGCCTGTGATGGGATCCTGGAGCCCACATGCGATGGGAGCAATGACCCGGAGCCCGCGCGCGACGGGGCCCGGGGAGCCACGCGCGACGGGGCTGTGGAGGGGGCGAAGGACCCGAGACGCGGGGCGGGCGGCGGCCACAGCGGCGGGCCGTCGGGGCCCCGGCGCAGCCAGCCATGCACACGCGCCAGGTCCCGCGTGTCCTCGTGCTCGCGCCGCAGCTGTTCACGCTGCTCCAGCAGCTGGCGCCGCGTGTCATGCAGCAGCTGAGCCCAGCGAAGGAGCCGCAGGAGCTCCTGCCGCAGGCGCCCGTTGTCAGCCTTGATGGCCTGCGTGTGCACGATGAGCGCGCGCGCCGCCTCCCGCTCCGCGCGTCGCGCCAGGGACTGCACACGCTGACGCGCCTCGCGCTCGAAGGCCGCCTTGTCCTCCAGGAAGCGCCTTTTCACGCGGTGCAGCAGCTGCGTGTGCTCCACGCGCATGTGCAGCAGCTCGCGCTCCAGCGCCCGGATCCGGGCCAATTGCTCCAGCTGCAGCTCCTGCGGCGGGGGCGCGGGTCAGCGCCGGGGCGCGGCGCGCCCCCACCCCGCCCGCCGGGCACGCGCTCACTAGCCTTGTATGGCTGCAGCTCCTGCACCTGCCGCGCCATCCGCGCCGCGCGCGCCTCCATCTCCAGCAGCTGCGTGCGCACTCCGTCCTCGCGCCCGCGGTACAGCGAGGCCAGCTCGGCCCGCTGCCAGTGGATCTGCGTCAGGTCCACGCGGTTCTGCTCGTCCAGTCGGACGATGGCTTGGGCGCAGCGCTGCGCGCGCGCGCTCACGTAGCTGGCGTAGAGCCGGTTCTCCTCGCGCAAGCGCACCGCCTCGCGGTCCAGGAAGGCGTTCTCCTGCAGCATCTGGTCCACGCGCGCCTCGCAGGCGTCCAGCTGCTCCGAAAGCAGCTTATACTCGCGCTGCAGGTACTGCCCGCGCTCCGACAGCGGCGGCTCGGCGCCGTCTCCCGCCGCGCCCGGCCGGCGCCCCGCGCTGAGCCCGCGCTTCTTCTTGGGCACCATGGGCTGAGGCCTCGGGCGCCGGCACGCGTGAGGGCACTGCCCCCAGCCCGCTCCTCCAGCCTAGCCCTTCCCTTCCCCCGGGCCGAATATCCTAGCAGGGTGGGACGCGTCCCCAGGCCAAGAGGTTGGGGGAGGCAGAATCAGGGGTGTGGGGGGTCAGGCAGGGGTCAGGGTATCATCTCCAACCTTTACTCTTGGGCTCTTTCCGGACCTTGGCCGTCTGTCGGGGTGTGCCCACCTTTAGTAACGTTGGCGTTCAGCCTGCACGGTCTCCGTGGAGACAGAACTCAGTCGCCCTCCCCCACTGGCACCCCGTCGTCCCGGCAACGGCCGACTCCCCTCCGGGCATTTCCCTCCAGTCCCTCGCCCCGAAGTCGGTGCGTGACGCCCTGCGTGTGCGCCCTGCAGAGGTCCGACCCCGGACCGGCAGCATTTTGGCTTCCGGAGGAGGACGCTGCTACCGAATCTAACAGAGCCAGCGGTGGTCAGAGCAGCCCCCACGCTCCACGTGCCAGACTTGGGCCCTTCGCCGTCTGTCCCCGAGTGGACTCTCCCCGCCCCCGTCTCCCCCATGTGCGGAGAGGGTTCCCCAAGTTCCTGGCCTCCAGCCGTGAGCAAGCCCCGCCCCCCTGCTGAGAAACTTTTCAGCTCTCTGGGGATCCTGGTTTTCCTGGAAGCGCTTCTTGATACTTTACACTCCTTCTGGGGGCCCCCCGAGGGAGTTAGGGTTACTGGGAAGATCGTGTCCATTCGGATGACATCGGTTGTCCACTGTTTCTCTCTTTGGAATTTCTTCTGTGGGTTCCTAAGCCCACACGTACGCACCTGTTCAACTCATCCCCCCGACCAGCCCTTGGTCAGCTTCCCTTCCTAGCTGACCGGGATGGCTGGAGAGGAAAGGATCCACCCGGGATTTTGCCGTTGCCCTTTTTGCTGTGACGTTATGGAAAACAACACCATAAATCCTTCATTTAATTCAGTCTCGACTAGGAATGTGAGCGGTGCTAACAGCACCTAGCAGGCCTGGCCTCCCACCCTGTTAGATGCCCCCCCCCAAGGAGGTGCCTCTGTATCCCCTTTGACCTGCAACTTAAATCTACAACTGTTTTGGTCCTGTGTGTAGTTCATCTGTCCAGGTCTGTCCACGTTTGCTGTAGCGTGGACAGATTTGAGAATTGTCCACTGGCAAGTTTGTGAGGTGCATGCTCTAAGGAAACCCACACCTGTAGGAAGGCTTGTGTGCGAAACCATCTTAGGAGGCTGGTTCCAGAGCTGTGATGAGTCACTCATCTCTCTGGACTTGCTCTAGCTGGCTGCAGCTGCATGGAACATGGGGCAGAGCCTCTTCAAATTTATAAATAAGAATAAAATGACATACACTCAAGACAATGGAGAATCTCCATTTGGTGTTAAAATTTGAAGAAATGTTGCTTCACAAACTTAAACAGCATCTGAATGTTGGCCTTAAATGTTAGTTTTTTGTCTTTTGCTTTTTCGAGGAGGCTCCTCACCCAGCATGGAGCCCAATGTGGGGCCTGAATTCACGACCCTGAGATCAAGACCTGAGCCGAGATAAAGAGTGGGAAGCTTAACCGACTGAGCCAGCCAGGTGCCCCTCTATGTTTTTTGTTTTTAATCTGAAATTCGTGCCTAACTTCTTACAGAAACTTGTGAAAAGACCAAGTAGAATCTGGGAACATCGCGCACCACGTAGTGGGGGCTCCACAGAGCCCAGTGAGAATATTTGCTTCTTCTCTCCAGGGCCTGGCCTTTCCACCCGGGGGCTCTCTGCTTCCAGGACAGACCGCTGCGCTCTCCACCTGGCCACCCTCAACACCTGGCAGGGGCCACCGTCCCCGCTTGCCAGATTGCTAGTCGGGCTGCCAGAGGCGGAGGGCCCCTCCCAAGCCACCCCTGCCCCTCCCGGGCTCCAGCGGCACACACTGCCGTCGTGGGGGGACAGGGGGATCTGGTTGGCCTCAGCCTTTTAATTTCTGGTGCGAGGTGAGGGACTCAACCGGCAGAGGTTTTTAAGTCGTCCGGGCCTCCCGGATTTCTTGGTGCTTTGTCTTCGCTTTCTGGCTCACAGATGCCGCCTCCCAGGAGAGGTCTGGCGAGCGCTTTGTTCTCCTCTGCCTCCAGTTTTCTTCCCAGTTCTGCAGTCTCGGCGGAATGGTTTGGAGAGCTGCGTGGGAAGCCCCCACTCCACACCCAGCCCTCGTGCAGCCGGGGCTTGGCCAGACTGCACCCCAGCCCCGCGGGTCCCCAGCCTGGGTCGCGCCCTCACCACCTTCGAGCCCCGCGCAGCCCTGGCTCGGCTCCTTCCCGGCCCCTCCCCACCCGCGCCATTCACTCCCCTTGCGCCTCTGCCCCCCACTCGAGTCGTGGCCTCAGTGTTCTGGGCTTCGCCGCAGACCGGTTCGGATTAGGGGAAGGCGGGGACCCTGTTTTCCCTGCTTCCTAGCGCAGGCCTCCGGGCGCAAGGGTGATTCCAGGAGCAGCCCCTCTCCCGGGAAGAGGAGAGTGCATGGCCTTGGGGCCGGCTGACATGCACCCCCAGGGGCCTTTCATGTATTGGGGAAGAAGTGTCTCTCTTGTCCACCGGGTACCACCGCTGCCCACAGAGACAGAACTAACCTCCGAGAGCTCAGATTCAAAGCTAGGGCTTACCTATGACATTTCTACCCACACTTGGGGTTCCTGTCCCCCCTCCCGCTGTGGATAGAGTGGTGGTCTTTGTCCCTCCAGACTCAGACTGGGGAGGGTCTGGGGTGAGGGGTCACTCACCTCCTGGCGGGAACTCTGAACTGGAAAGACACCAGGAGGAAGGGGGTGAGCAGTCTGCTCATCTTCTGCCAAGGCTGCCCCTCTCCCACTCCTGTGTGGTCAGGTACTCTCCCAGCTCTCTGCTGGGGGCTTGCCATGGGCCCCCAAGGCAGGTTCTTGGGTAGCTGCTCATACTACTCCTCAGGCTACTTAGTACCCACCACACATACCCCCACATCCCCCACCCCCTAGGTCAGGCTTCAAAAGGTTCCCACTCTCTGACCCCTGTCTTGGTTGCCTTCCCTCCTCAGCTGCTGAGACTTGGGGTGAGCCCCCTCCCTCAGGAGTAGCCAGTGGGGCTGGGCTATGCTTGACCCTGAGGTGAGCACTTCCAGGGGCCTCTGCTCCCATTTCATAGATGGAGAAACCGAGACACAGGGTGACTTGTCCAAGGACCCCTGGAAGCACTAGGGCTGTGACTTGGACACTGGTGGGCTCGTCCCACAGTGCAGACTACCTCTTGGCAAGTCTTTGCCCATCTCTGCACTGTGCCCTGACACAAGGGGCAGGGCCAGCCTCCTTTATGGAGCACCACCCCACAGCAGCCTGAGACCAGCACATGGCTAGTGCCCACGACCCTTCTCCCTGCTAAGGCCAACTGGACCTGGAGAATTGGTAGGTTCAGGGGATACCAAAGCCCTGATCTTGAAGCTCAGCCCTGGGCAGGAGCCAGATACTGAGCAGTGGGCAGAGGCAGGGACCCTGGGGAGTCTGGTGGTAGGGATGCCCCAGCCTAGTACCTCGTCCCTTGATTAGAAGGACAGCGCTGATGGTGATCACCACGGCCAAGGGGACAATGGGCAGGAATGTGAGCAAAGTCCAGGAGAGTCTGTCTATCCAGTGTGTCCTCTGGCTGGGGTCAAGCCCTGGAGGGCCCAGACCTGGCTGTTCTCTGGGCCCTGGGTGGGACCCAAATCTGTCCCCTTGCCTATATCCTAGTTTGGGTACTGCCTGCAGACCTCCCCCCTCACCACCCCGCCCCCGGCCCACATCCCCAGACCAGGGAGCTGGCTCTGGGTTGGGCAGGCCGGCCAGGACCCTTCCTCAAGGGCCTCCCCTTCACAGCCAGGTACCTTGGAACCTGTGCCAGACCCACACCAGGTTCACGGTCAGCCCCAGGTGGAATGCCCAGGTCCAGGCCACGATGTGCGTCAGCTCCCACAGCCACGGCTGCCCCTGCAGGAAGCGCTCTGCCCTCCCTGATACATGGTGCAGTGGGGGCCCTGAGCCCTGCCACAGCTTCTCAGGAGCAAAGACAGGCAGAACCAGCGGGAGCCCCTGGGTGTGTGCATGGAACACACGAAGGCCAGGTGGGGCTCCATGGTGATGCTGCGGTGGTGACCCAAGGCTCTGGCCTGCTCTGGGTCAGCAGGGTCGCAGCTTCAGGGCAGGCCTTGCTGGAGCCCAGGGCCTGTGGGCTTGGCTCCCTACTCCTCCCTGGAGGGGGTCAAGCCAGGAAGGCTCAGGCTTGGGGTGTGGCCCAGGTCAGCCTGCATGCCGCCCTCTCCAGACATGCTCACCTGCCTCTGTTTGTGAAGAAGAGGATGACAAACAGGATGCCTGGTGTCCAGAGCCGCCCGCAGGCCCCGAGGGTGATGCCCACGCCCACCTCCGCAGGCTGGCTCAGAGATGCCCCTGAGAGACAGCTATGAGGGGGAGCCCAGCCAGGGGCACGCCTCCTCCAGGACCCTCATGAGCTCAGACATGACCACCTCTACAGCCCCAGCGTGCCTTCCTGGAGTGACCAGGAGTACCTGAGTCCACAGCCCACGTCGGCAGCAGGAGAGAGGGAAGGACGGCTTTAGAGGTCCAGGAGCCGGAGGAGTGTCCCAGGTCCTTCCCGCAGGGTGGAGAGGCTGTGCCCGAGACAGGCCTGGGCAGCAGGGACACAGTGGTGCTCGTACTCAGACACTGAGGGTGGGGGCGGTGCCACACACCTGGACTGTGACAGTCTGCAGGCTGGGAGGTGGGGGCTCTGAGTTACAAGGAAGCTGGTGATGGCTGGAGCAGGAGGTTCCGACCATACTGTTTCAACCCGGGGCTTTGATCTGCCGCCCCCTCCCTGCCTGCTGACTGTGGGTCTTCTGGACAAGGCCTCCCTAAACTGCCATGTATCAGCTAAAAATTAAATACACAGTCCACTTTTTTTTTTTTTAAGATTTTATTTATTTTGA